TTATCCCAGAGTTTTCAAAACTAGTCTCATTTTTTATATTTCCTCATGCATCAAGCTGAGGTGGACCATGTGTGAACTCTGTAAAGACTGGGCGTTAGCCCCGCAGTCATGACTGTTCCGGGGTCACCTCTTAGCAACATTGGAAGAAGAATTATCTTATCTCTCAGATCAGCTGATTTCTTCAACATGCTACAAGTAGGAACTGTGGAGATCAGCACTTGGGATTCAGGGGCCGGGGAGATGGTTCAGTGGAATAAGCGCTTCCCTTCAAGTGCAACGGCCTGAGTTCAATCCCCATTTTCTCCAAAAAAAACCAAACCAAACCAACCAACCAACCAAACAACAACAAAAAAACCCAAACTAAAACAAAAAGCACTTAGGATTCAAATCCCCAAATGCCTGGGATTATGTTGCAATCTTGGGTAAATGGTCTTTGCCTCAGTTTCCTGATCTGAGTATATGATTATAGTACCAGTCTCACAGGGCTGTTGTGCGAATAAAATGTGTTAATATCGGTAGCCTTCTTGGGCCAGTGTCTGAAATGAACTTTCTCTGCACTGAGCGGCACTGCCATCCAATGTCTGCACGCCCTGACCGCCTCTCCTACTCTATTCCGTCATTTTTCATAATTTGGGGAGAAGACGGGGTCCTAGGGTTGCTTTCACAAATAGGCTGAAGCCTGGACTGACTCCTCTCTGCTTCTCCAAACCGCAAGCTCAAGGGAGCCACAGGAAGATGCGCATGAGTGGGAAGGGCCGAGGCTGGGAAACATTTGTTCTGAGGCTTTAGGCAAACTTTCTGTGGAAGGCTGAAGCCAGATCCTGCACTCCAGATGGCCTGGCTGTGTCGGCCAATAGCAAAGAGGAGGGGGACCGGGGCTTCCAAGTGGGCCTCAGGTTGTCACTAATGAGCCCCCGAGGGTCACGCTGCCTGCACGCTTGCAGGCTTTTTTGGCTCTTGGGAGGTAACAGGAGGAAGTCCTGGGGAAGATGTGTAGATGAGAGGCCCGGTTACCTTCGGGTTTCCTGGGTGACCTTCCGGTTTCCTGGGCTGCGGGCCGCAGAGGCTGTGCGGTGGTTTCTCAGAGCCGGACACCACGCTGTGCTGCGTTGGGTCTGAGAGACGCGGGAGCGCAGGGCCCACCGCGCTCCTCCCCGCACCGCTGCGGCGGCCACTTGGGGGGCTGCTGCCTCTGAGGTGTGCAGAGGACAGGCTGGACTGGAGCGGGTCTGCTCACATCGCAGGTCCGGGCGAGAGGGTACAGAGGAAGGAGGTGCTGCGTCTGAGCGGCGGGGAGGACCCGGGGCTGGGAGCGCTGACCTGGGGTGGACCCCTCTCGGGGCGTGGGCGGCGATCGATCCTCTGCTGCATCGCGCGAGGCCCGCGCCAGCATCCTCTCCTGATGTGAGCAAGCTGGCCAGTACGTGCTGAGGCACACAAAGGCAGCTCTGCGACCTTTCTGACCAGAGCCCAAGAACAGTGCTCTAGCAAGCCCTTCCCAAGAGACTTCCATTGTCGCGCCGTAGCCAGTCGCCATCGGAGCACGTGCTGTGCAGGTGGAGAGGGACGCCCCTCGGACGTGGCTGGAGGACTGGCCCTAGGGCTCCCTGCATGACCTGGGGCACAGATCCTTCGCTCCATGCCTTACCCAACAGGCCGAGCCAGAGTTCTGAAAACTCATTATCTTCAAAAGATTACTCCACATCCGAATGTTAGCTTGAGTTTAGGAGGTGGGGAGGGAGCCAATGTCTAACAGCAGCTGCAGTGTGTTGGCAGTGGACGTGGGTGACTTCATGATAAACCGTCCTTAGCACATGCGCGGCTGGACTGTGACGTGGCAGGGGTGTCTCCAGCCATGTCCGAGGTTAAGCTGTACCTCAAGTATCCTAGCTGGGATCAAATGATTTTGCATCTTTCAGAATTCATTTGCTTCTTGAGGTTTTTGTCAGCCCTGACTCACAATGAACTCAAGATAAAGCTAAAGAATTTTGGTTTATTCATGTAAGAAAATCAAATTATATAAGCAAAAGGGAGCTGCATAGTGATTGAAAGACTTAGTTCCTTTTTTTGTAATTGAGGAATTATCAACTGGTGTTTATAGGTGTTCTTTAGCTGTGTGACCTCAGGAACATTTACAAAAACGTAATGAAGGATAACCACTGGGGATGGAGCTTTTGAGACGAGGGTTCTAAATTAAATTTGTTGCAAAACCTTCTGGACTTCAATGTAAAATCTACCTAACCGCTAGTTCTCAACTGCACCTTTGGACTTTGGAAGCAACACTTCCACCAGCACAGGCTTCTAGAGAGGTGCTTCTCCGATCATCTGGGGACCTTCTTAAAGGGAATTTTCAGATTCAGTGGGCTGGGGCTGCATTTCTGATGGGCTTCCCAGGAAAGCAGATGCTGCTGGAGAGTGGACTACACTTCAATGACAAACTTCTGAAACAGTGGTTCTCAGAGTGAGATGCAGAGGCCACCAACACCAGGAAACCTGAAGACTCGTGGCACCCACCCGGGACGTGCAGAACCCAAAACTCTTGGAGCTGGGCCTGAGTGGGTCTGGGCTTTAACAAACCTTGCTGGCGATTCTGAGGCACGCTCAAGCGTGAGAACCACTGTTCTAGAAAATCGGTGGTAGGGAACCTTTCAGTGTAACAAACCCAGAATTGGAAATACTTCCCTGATGATATGCCTCTTTCGGGTCTAGTCTGACATGCAGTTCTTAGGCTTCTTTGAAGTTATACTTTCAAGGTTCTTCTAGAACCTTATGAGATATTCTGGTTCTTTCCCCCTAATACTTATGCTCCCCTAGGAATCTTATCAACCCCTGAGCTTTCAAAATAACTGATAGAAAGCATTAAAATGAAAGTGAAGTTGAGGACATGTCCAGACCCTGTTTGTGGTATTTGATTAGCATTTGCCACTTCCTGTCAGAGTTTTAGGTCTCCTGCTTACTTCAATTCAGAGTTTAAAGGTATTTTTTCTCTTTTACAATGCTTTAATAGCTTCAACACTTACACTAGCATTATTTAAAAAATTAAAAAAGAACGGAGCAGTGGGAAAGAATAATTAAACTCTACAAGAGCTTTTAAGTAGTTTTATTGGATTTGAAATTAAATAGAAGCCCATGGGAGTTGTTCTTGGGGCAATTAATATACAAGAGACTGCAACTGTCATCATGCATGGCTGCAGAAGAGGGGACAAACAGAATGGCCATGGGGGGTGGCGACAGGGCTTATTTAGGCGACTAGGGAACACAGAAGGGTCTCAGATGAAGAATAACCCTTGCTATATTGAGATTTTTTCAAATGAGCATGTTTATAAAATTTGATTATGAGGGAATAAACTCTCAGGTTGTGAGCTCCTGATGCAAAGAGACACCCCAAACAGTGTGATTGGATTAGAACTGGCAATTGCAGCCCCCAGGGCAGTGTACCTCTGCAGGCATGAGGCTTTCTGCTGGAGGATGCAAACGTCTTCCTAGGAGGGGAAATTGGGTGCTCTGAGGAGCCTTGAGTCTAGCGCTAGGTTTTCCAGGGGGTGTGTACAGTGCTAGCCTTGACAGCCTTCATTTACGCAGTCATCTCTGCAAATGGACACAGAAATCTTCAGGTTATGTTTACGTACTTTCTAGTAGAGGTCTTCCAAGCTGGGCAAAAGGGCATATTTCTAGATAATTGTGAATAAAGACCTAGACAGATATATAGCCAATAACAATTACCAGGAAACTCACAGTGGGAAATAGCATGCTCAAATGGTCCCTCCATGGGGGCTTATGATGTATAAATTCAGACAGACTTAAACAATTTGCTGACTTTGACCTAAATAAATGACCCAAGACATATGGTAACATGTTCTACTCAAGAAATTAAACACCTGCCTTCAATTGCTTGGCTAACCCCTTCAGCCCCCGAGCTTGAAATGTTAGGAATTTTTACAATGATGTGTTAGGTTAGGAAAGACAGTTAAGGCAGCATTTTCACCCCTGTAGAGCATCTGCTAATGAATTAAGTGTTGAGAATTCTACTCCACACCCTGGTGTTATGGGCTGGCCCAGTTCTCCAATTTGAAGAAATATTTCTGACACAGAATATTTTGAGGATCTTTGAGAATTTAATCAACCCCCAGTTGTTCAGGGCTTGACCATCACTTTTGGAAAGCACCCCGAATCTTAGCCTTTCTTCATTCATCCGTCATTTTCCTCCTCTCTCTCTTGTTAGTCTCTCTTTGGACCTTTTCACAGCACTTTAGGCAACTCAAATGATAGGCAAAGAAAATAACATGCAGAAAATGGGAGAAACCAAGATTTATAATATTGATCTATTCATCCTCGATTTGGCATAGGTTCGTATAGGAGAAAATTGGAAGTCTTGGTCAAATTAACTCTTTGGAAGCCAGGCATGGTGGCACATGCCTGCAATCCTAGCACTTGGGAGGCTGAGGCAGGAGGGCACTACAAGTTCAAAGACTGGGCTACCATCATGAGTTCACAGACAGTCTGAACTACATAGTGAGACCGACCCAAAAAATACCCAAATAAATAAAAATAGAATATTTTGGTTGTTATTATTATTATTATTATTATCATTATTATTATTATTTTGTGGTACTGGGGATTGAAGCCAAGGATGCCTTATCACTAAGTAACATCCTCAGCTATAGTTTTGAGCCCTAAGTTGCTAAATTATCTACATTGGGCTCAAACTTATAATCCTCCTACCTCAGCCTCTCAGAGCACTGGGATCATGGGCTTGTACCACACATCTAGCAATTTGGGTTATTAATGGTTGCTAATCAATGAATGAATCTTTATCAATGGCTGGGATAATATGATTGACTTTATTAATAGTTAAAACATTTTAAAAGAATATTAAGTATGGCTATTGCTTAGGCAGATAAGTAGCCCCTCAATGATCAGAATGGGCCATATCTGTGGCATTAGTCCCCAGTTAGTAAGCCAAGGTCAGTTTCCCTTCCACCCAGTTCCCCATCCCTTACCTGTCCCGCAGTGTCATACAGTCCGAGCAAGTGCTGTTTGCCTCCCACTGTCACAGTAACTAGGGGAGAAGAGAAGAGCAGGATCCATAAATACATTTCAGCCAGGAGCCTTCACAGTTCTCTGTGCCAGCATCTCTCTGGGCAGCAAGGACAAGCATATGCCACAGCCCTGTATATTCTGAACCAAACTGACAGTGTGGTTTCCGAACGAAAGACAACCTTGGGCCACAGTGGTGGCAGATGGCGTGAGCCAAGTCCATATTTTTCAACCAACATGAGTATTGCTGGAGCGATGAGGGCATTCCACAAGCTGCTCATTGATTCTTTTCAGGCTCTAGACTGCTGAGCTCTTGGAGGAAAAGGATGGGTCATCCCTCCTGGTTAGGTGGTCACCTGCTTTGGTGTGGTTTGAGCCACCTTTTAAGATATAAAATTGTGTAAGGTGCTTCATGATAGAAATCTCTCTGCTTCTATCTGTCCTTGAAATGTTAATAAAATCTCGGAAACAAAGATTATGCATATATGTATGGAATTTAACTCAGGACTTCAAGTTTGCTAGGCAGGTGCTGTGCCACTGAGCTCTATCCCCAGCCCCGTCTTTTGTATTATAAAGGAAGGCAAATAACTAAAGGAGAAAAGCAACAGATCCCTTATGATTTTAAAACTTAATTCCAGAAGAAGTGTTGCCCGGTTCCATTTTACCTACCTAAAGGGCACACAGAAAGCGAAGAGTAACCAGTTTGGTTTCCCCAGCAGGCTTCCTGCCTTGCCAAGCAAATGTGTTCCAAAATGGGAAGCGATTCGGGGTATTGACCACTCTGTGCATGGCTGGAAATGAAATAAGGCCTCAGGTTGAAACTAAACTGAGACTGAGCAGATTGAATGAGACATGAGATGATTCTCACAGTGGAAGGAGAGAATGAATGTGCTTCCACAAAAATTGAATCTCTTTGGAAATAGGAAATAAAATATGAAGAAACGCGTGACTTTTTCCTTAGTGGATTAAAAAATGAAAATGCGGTGTAGAGATCGCTCTTGATTCCTCCTATCACTGGAAGTGCAGGAAATGAAAAAGAAATGGAAGAGCAGCCAATTATAACCTTATCTCTCACACGTGCCTGCCAAAGTCGCCAGTTTGCTGCTTGGAGTGGCTGATCTGCTACCGATTTTTATTTCTGTTTTCAGTATTATGAGCTGCACATATACAAAACATTTGTTAATGTCCTTCTTTGAACAGTGCTTGTTTAAAATCACTGGCTCCCCAGCTACCAGGAACTATTTTTCTAATCTATTCAGATCCACACATGTGCAGCTAGATAACATAGTTTCAAGGAGGGCCGCAAGGAAAGCCAATATTTTGGCCCTAGCCTTCCAAGGTCAATTAAGACTCAGGACATATGAGAACTTGTACTGTAACGTCATGTAACTCGGTAGTGTCCTAAATTTTCTGATCAAGGAGATTATGGGGCCAAAGAGGAAAGTGACCAATGATGTAGAGTGTGCCTAAGGAGAGTCACATGGAGAGAAAACATTCTCTCAGATTTTCACAGAGAGCACATTGGCCAAGCAGTGGCTGGGACTCATCCACATGGCTGACACTGACAAAGGATCTACAGTCTGAGGTACAGGATCTCAGGATAAATCCTGAGGGGATTTCACTGATGTTATCAGACCCAAAAGCTACAACTCTTATTGCATAGGTCCTGCTTTACCTTGGTCTTAACCATCCAGCAGAAAAGTATAAAAACAAAGTATAATAAGTAAAGCCATGTTGTTATGTTGAACTGTAGGGGACTCAGGTCAACAACTTCTGACACTGCCAGTCAAGCGGAAGACCCAATACTATTATGGGCTACTGGACTCTTTTAGAATATTTTGCTGAGTTAACACACCTATAATATTTAAATGATGGAACTAAACAAAAAAGGGGATACAGATGAATGTTCATTTTGTATCTGTGTATCCAAAATGGTTAGGATAGATTTATAGTTACATTCTGTTAACGAATAGAGGGATTTGTTCTAATAGTGTTTGTAAATAGGATATCATGTCCACATCTTGTACAGCAAATAACCACTAGGAAGAGAGTAGGAAATGTGTTAATTATTGAAACTGTCATACCAATTTGATTTGAAACTGTCTCATTGCTATATGTCTCTCAATAAAATTATGGAAAAAAAAAAAAAAAAAAAAGAACAGGAGACCAAGTCCCCAGCTCAAGCAGTGAGGCAGAAAGAACAAATCCTTCTTACCCACTTTTGTTCTAGTCAGGCCTGTAGGAGACTAAGTGATACCCACTCGCACTGGACAGGGAAGTCTGCTTTATTCAGTTTACTGACTCCAATGTATTCTTGCCCAGAGACTCCTCATAGACACACACAGAGTAATGTCTTACCAGCTATCTAGGTAACCTATGCCCCAGTCAAGGTGACAAATAAAATGAACCATCACTAACACTGATAAAAGACAAAATAAACTGCAATATTATTTCTTGCTAAAAAAACCCAACCAACCAACCAAACAAAAAAAATCCAAAACCATAGTTGCAGCCACCCAGATGGGCTTTTAAGGCCATATTTTAAGTAAAGCCAGCTCTGTCCAACCCCAGTTTCAATGCTGCGAGGGGAAAGACATTTATGCATTTTACTTCTAAGTCCTAAGCCGGGTTAGTAATAGAGATAAAGGTGATGTGATGAGGCTCAGGACTCTCTGTCCTGTTTCATTTTTTCTTTTCTTGCGTACTGACAGAAAAGAGCTCTGATATTTTGAAATCTGCCTAAATGGTTTCTTGAATGATCAAGAGGCTACCCAGTCCTGGATTAGAAATGAAGGGAAGGTCAGGCATTACAGCATGGAATTTCCTTCCTCCACAATCCAGTGCATGGAGGCCAGGGGAAGCTGCCCCTGAGACCTCCTTCCGCTGTCCCATGCCCTGCAGGCCCAGTGCCCTCTGTGGAGTAAACTGGAAGCCAAGTCACGCTTGCTGCCCCACTGTGCACTACACATATTCCTAAACGGTGGTTCTGATCTTTGCCACTGATCCCTGGCCCCTGCTCACCTCTTCCCTGTGTTCTGGGAAAGCGATCCTTCCCGCCCTCCTGTTTCACCTCAGGCCTCCCCGCTGCTCCTTGGTATCCCTGAATCCAGAGCATTTCCTTAGGCCCAAGAAAAGGGAGAGCCAAGGAAGGCTAAGCTTCAGGTGGAGACTCTGGGTACAGTGGTGTCTCCCCTCAGTCTGTCCTTCCTTTCTGCAAGGGTTTGTGGTGTTCGTGGGCTAAACTCAGATTTGGGAATAGAAAGACCAGATACAGCTCCTCCTGTCATGGTCCATGGAGACAAGTGGTCTCCTGGGAAACCAGGGGTCCAACAGTGCCAGGGCCATTGTGAAAGGTATGGGGCACAGGCAGGACACTAGCAAGTGGGCGTGCACCTGCACACACACGCTGCTGGAGCGTGGTCTGAGGAGGCTTTCTGAGGGGATGTCTGAGTGGAGTCTCCAAGGACAGCCCAGAGTCTCCTGGGGTCCTGGGGAGATGGGGCAGCAGAGGCGAGCTGGGAGCAGCAGAGGCAAGCTGGGAGCATGGAGCTGCCCTGGCGCACCAACTCAGGCTTTATTATAAAGGTTTCCTGAAGCTGTGAGAATCCAGGATTCTGACCTCAACTCTCTGAAAATGTAAGTGAAAGAAAAGCAATGAAAATGATTTCCTTGGGTTAAGGCAAGATGGTAGTGGGAAGGAGGATGGTATTTTTTATTGAGACTGTCAGCTTTGCACGCGTGACTGCCTAATGTGCCCATGAGAGGCTGGCCTGGCGGGAAAAGCCCAAAGGAAGGGGCAGAGCATGTGCTCTTACCTTTATTTTTTTATTTTTTATTTTGGCAGAACTGGGGATTGAACCCAGGCCCTTGTGCAAGCGCATATTCTATTGAGCCATTTCCCCAGCCCCACCCTTATCTTTAGAAGTCACATGATTTCCCCTCTCCTACTCTTTTTTCTTTATTTTTATTTTAATTTTTTAATAGATTGCAAATTGAAAATAAGCCCTTGTGCATGCCAGGGAAGCGCTTATTCCCCT